AGAAAAAAGGAATTAAATTACATAGATAAAACCCTTCGTAAAGTGTGGGCTGTCTTGTCAGAACAATTTTTTTAACTCCTTGAGGCATGGACTTCAGGAATCCCTTCAATTAGTCTACTGCAATCTTTTCCAACCAGTCCTAGGGGCTCCAGGGACAACAGGGGATGTTCCCATATGCCACATTTTCGAGATTTCTATTTCAGGGTCCTTGTACTTTGACAACTTTTTAAATATCTTCAAAATACATTGCACAGGGACTGTCATATCAATAAGGAGGCATCGTTTTTTGTTTTGTGGTCTTTAATAACAATATCTGGCCGGTTGGCCTTGATTGTTCTGTCAGTGTGTATTGTGTAGTCCCATAGAATTGTAACAGGCCCTATCTCCGTAACCGGGTCTGGGTGGTGTTCATACCAGTTTCTTTCAGTTTCCTTCCCGTAGAAGTTGCAGATTTTCCAGTGCAGATTTTCCAGTGCAGATATTGGCCCACTCTGTCATGTCGGGTTTTATGTTCAGTGGGTGCCAACACCGTACAACCTGATACAAGATGATCAATCGTTTCTGGATATTTATCACAGAACCTGCATTTTGGGTTGACACAATATTTTAGTATATGTGCTTGATAATTCCTAGTTAGCAAGCATTGGTCCTGCGCAGCAAGGATAAAACCTTCAGTTTCCGCTTTCAACCCTGCACTACGTAGCCACTGATGGGTACGGGTTTTGTCTACGTCAGCTTGTTTGGTACGGGCAGAGTATTGGCCATGAAGCGGTTTATCTTGCTTATGAAGCGGTATTTTTTTTATTATTATTATTATTTCTTCCGCGCGGTTTTTCCTTTTCGACCGGAAATCTTGCATTATGGTTATTCTACATCTAGACGTACGGCTTCAGACAGTGTACACCTTTCGCAAAATCAAAAACGAAAAATTCTGAAGTGTTGAAATATCTATTCTGAGTTTATTACAATTATCTTACTGTAGATACTTTAGGCCTAGATCTAAACGCCCCATTGATAAATGGGACAGAATTCACTTAAACGTTCCACATTCTGACAGCCTCAATCCGTAGGTCAGTCTATTTTTAATGCTTTTTAATTTCATTGACTGAATATTATGAAACCGTACCAGAAACAGCCACACCGATTAGGATACTTTTTCATTTTCATCAGTTGGGATATATCTAATTTGGAAGGTGTCAATGACGTGCTGTGTTTGGATGTTGAAATTCCGTAAGATCTTGGTCTTTTTCTATCATATTCTCTTGTTTGTGGCTGTAGCATTATTATCATTTTATTATTTCATTTTTTCGTATAATTATTTCCTTCCGTGTCTCAACTAACGATCTCAAACGAATAACACTTTCGTAGAACATTTTCAGTGTCTAGCAACGTGAACTACTGAAGCAATGAAACACTACGTTTTATTCCGATGTTTTAAATCATTTTGTTGTTACATATATTCCTTTATTTATACTGACGTTCTGTAAATGATTTCCAACAATAAAGTTTGCTAGCATTTTTTCTTCTTGGTTACTTTGCTCATCCTGTTAAACTGAGGTTTACTTTTTTTAAAATTTTGTTTTACGGTATATCAATCTCAATATGTTATTTAATGCTGATAAGTTAGTTTTCAGAATAAGATCTTATGAATAGAATATGTATACTTGTAAGAAAGTAGTTTGTAGATCAGTTTTCAAGGACATATTTTTCTAAGGGTGTTGTTGAGAATCAAATATATTGCTGGTAATATTTTTTTTCAAAAATGTATTGCTGGTACTTTTAATATAAAATCCATTTCTACACCTTCATGGTGTTTTGACCCCAGTTTGGGCGTTAACTATAACTCGGACCCTACTAGGTGCTACCAATTCGGGGCGAAGAGAATGTTGTCTAATGTTACTGGAATTTTATTTCAGATTAGACACTCCATTGAGTTTGAATGCCAAGTAGACAAGAAGGTGCAAAAGTTCTGTTTGAATTTATAAGAGAAGTTATCATTATTTACACTATTCGTTCGTTTTTTATAATTTATTTTAATAGTTGTTAATCGTTTTTGTCGAGCAAATGTCATTATCTCTGTTGTTATCGCAGATCGTTCGAAACGATGTGACAACAACAGAGATGAGTATAATTGGTGGAATATAATTAGTGTAAATAAGAATAAGCATGTTCGACTTTTTCTTGCCTTTGCTTTTAATTAGGGTCAAAAATCTGATTTATAATAAACAGTACTGACGAAATTTGCCAGCCTGAATGTCGGAGGACGCATATATTTTATGAAATTCTCTTGGTCATTCAGACCGGTAAATGTTATTAATACTGTTTATTATAAACAGAGCGTTTACTTAAATATTTGTATGTATAAAAAGAAAGTATAAACATAAAAAATGGCTTTATATATATATATATATATATATATATATATATAGATATATAGATATATAGATATATAGATAGATTGATAGATGATATTAGCGGTAAATATACACATACATATGCAAAATATATAAATATATATACATAGATGCATACACATACATATATATTTTTTGAATAAAATATTCAAGAGGATAGAATTCAGGTAGAACTCAATGTCCAGGACAGAGTAAAGATCTAATAAAAAAGATTTAAACACCATGGAATATTTGTTTGCCTTTTTAAGCATTTTATTTTATTATATTGTATTATATACACACACACACACACACATATATATATATATATATATATATATATATATATATATATATATATATTTGCGTATTGCTTATTTTAAAATATAGGACTCGACTTGTAATCAATATTTCGTCACATTATTCATATAATATATTGAAAGGCACATGGCAAATGGGCTGTAATTTTAATTAGGCCAATTTGTCTGATGCTGTTTTGCCAACAATAGATAATAAATAAACATTAATTCCATTCTTTCAAAAAAGATGAAGTGCACAAAATCTTAACATAAAACGAAGCAGGCAAAGCAGTCTGCTAAGCACTGGCATTAATCGTCTTTACTTTATTATTTATTGCAGATTTAGAAGGCAGTAGAATGCTGATTACTAAAATGGAAAAAAGTTTTACAATAAATCGAATGTTGGTTCGATAATGCATACAAATGTTGTTTCCTTAGCATTTCTATTATTATTCGTCGTCTTTTACAGTCTCTAACTCTGGACAATATATTCCGTTCAGATCTTGTCTAATTTTCTTCTCTGCTGTTTCAACAAAGCATTAAATACATTCATTTCCTTGCTTGTTCACTGGATTCTTGTCGAAGTCTTTCGGACACAAATCAAATATACATGTGTTTCATCATCTAAAGTAAACAATTTCGAGCGGCGACTGAGAATTCTCTGTTCTTTCCCACAAACTCACTCCCCATCACTCTCTCCCTCTCTCTCTCTTAATATTTTCTTTTCTTTTTTTTTTTGTCAGTTCTATTTTTCTTTCTCTCTCCCTCTCCTTTTCTCTATCTTTCACACTTTAATTTATGATATGCTAACTTTTTGCCTCTTCTTAAACGCTATTCTATTTATATAGCTCTTTCCTCTCTAAAACTTTCTTTTATATATATATATATATATCTATCTATATATATATCTATCTATCTATCTATCTATCTATCTGTGTGCGTGTGTGTCATCCTGTTCATCTCTCTCTAATTCTCTCTTCATCTATCTAGTTCTATCTATCTGTCTATCTATCTATGAAAATCTATCTATCTATCTATCTGTTTATCTATTTATCTATCTATCTATCATAAATATCTATATATATATATATATATATATATATATATATATATATATATACAATCACATTGGTTATATATAGGCAAAAATACACAAAAATGGAGAAATTGAGACCACACACACACACATTAAACACACACACACACAGCGACACACACAAATGAACACGGCTGTAACGGTTAACGTTGTGATAAATATGGCGACAGAGATGCGAACAATAGTCCGAATAATGTACATAGTGTGCATCTCATCTCAGAAATATAGACATCTTTTTATATATCAACCGAAAACTCAACCCTTTATTTCGCTGGATCTAATCAGCGCCTTTATCCACTGTGCCATGTATCTTTGAGAACACACTGCACAGTGGTTAACAGTGACAGGACCCAAAGAGTGTGAGTTCAATACCTGGTTAAGGCAGTGGAGAACTTGAAGAGGGTAATTAACAGGAGATAACTGATAACTGACATCCATTAAACATGGCACGTGGAACTAGAACAGTCTACCCAAGTGAGCGAAATAACGGGTTAAGTTCGACATTCCAACCACCTGAAGAAGGCCGAAACGTTGTAATAAATATAGCGACAAACTTGAGGACAATAGTCTAAATAATGTAAATAGTATATTTATCAATCTATCTATCTATCTATCTATCTATCTATATATATATATATATATATATATATATATATATATATATATATATATATATATATATAGAGAGAGAGAGAGAGAGAGGAGAGAGAGAGGAGAGATAGGGAAGAGAGAGTGAGAGAGAGAGAGAGAGTGAAATTGTTTGATGGAATGTGTCGAAAGTTGTCGATGAATTTCCTAGCATGAAGTCACATGTCATCGTGACCGAGAGTTTGAGCCTTATTGATGCTGTTTAACTTACTGATTGTAAGAGATTATGCGCGCTTCCCCAGAATCTGTCACCGTAATTATGGTCCAGTAACATTGTTACAGTATAAACTAGAGTTGGCTTACGTGGGGATGAAAAAACAAACATATTTCTGAGCAGGTGTCTGCAACAATGATTTTATTCCTGCTCTAGCGAATGGCTGTGTTCAGAAAACTAGCGTTGAAGGCTATTATAAATGTATAGATGACCAACTCCACACGTCACATAAAAGACACCTTGATTTTGCATGTTTTATTTATCCCTATGTATCTTCCTCTCTCTCTCTGTCTTTGAATGTATTCTTATATTGGTTGTTTATTTGACTATAAAATTCTCTCTATATTCGAATGTTTTCACTTTCTATTCCACTCTTTCTTTATCTGTTTATCTATCTATCTATCTATCTATCTATCTCTCTATCTATCTATCTATCTATGACGTAACACATTATGAATTGGACAATGACCGACAATTATTTTAGGACATCACTAAACAAAACGATCCTCTGTGGCTAAATCGGTAAAGCACGTCAGGCTATATGACGGTTCCATATAGGATACATGTTCGATTCCTGTCGGAGGACGCATATTTTCTATGAAAATTTCTCGGACATTCAGGCCACTATATGTCGTTAAGACTACTTATTATAAACAGAGCATTTACTTAAATACTGGAAGTGTTTGTGACTATTTTAAGATTATTTATTTGGGATATATATATATATATATATATATATATATATATATATATATATATATATATAAATAGATAGATAGATAGATATACAGAGAGAGAGAGAGTAAGAGTAAGGTTGTCGCTACAATGAAAATAGACACAAATCTCTTTATCACTTTGGTTGCACATTTCTACGTATATTAGGCTGTGTATAAACAACGATTTCACTTTCTCTCTCTCTCTCTCTCTCTCTCTCTCTCTATCTATCTACCTCTCTCTCTCTAATATATGCGTGTATGTGTGCACGTTTCCTTTCTCTTTTTATCTAAGTTTTCTTCCCCAGTGAGTTTCTCCCTCCCTGTTCATTGTTTTTCTTTCCTCTTTCTTTTCTTAATGGTTTATTTGAGTCGATCACTTCCACGTTTCCAATGCAAACAGACACAGCGAAATCGAAAACTGAACGCTGCCTTTCTCTGATCGCATATTGATCAGTATCCGGCATCGTGATTGACACAATCCCCGACGGTGACGAACAGGGAAAAGAAAGTGAATATAACCCCGGTCAGAGAAGCCCGATAGTCGCTTGTCCAATCAACGAATAAGTTGGACAGTTAAGAGTACACTCCTTTGTCGGAAGTGACCATTTCCTATCCACACATCACGCAATGGTCAAATGAAGCGGCACGGGAGACTCTAACCCCAACTTCTCATGTAAATTGATCTTTTTTCGTTCTTTTTCCTTACTTACGTCTCAGAAACTCAGAAATATATATATTGATCTTTTCTTCTTTTTATTTTGCTTTGTCCAGATTCTCACGTATCGTACGTTTTATCTGTCAATGCAAATTTGCAAACCGGTAAATGTTTTTCTTTCAAGTTTTGGTTAGTACATTTAAATTAGAAATCAATGCAAATAAAACAGCCCATTTCACGATTCCATAACTGATGATCAGTGAAAGTGTTCGAACTGGTTTTACAAACAAGTTATATTGATCATTTCAGACAATTGTTGTCTGAAATATATGACAGAGATTTTGCTTGTTTTGATTTACGTCATATCAACCTCAATGGGTTATTTAATGCCGAAAAAATTTCCTTGTTGGTAATATTTTTTTTCCAAAAGTCTACTTCTGATAATATTTTTTCCTTTAAATGTCTATTCCTGTTAAGAATTTTTCTTCAATAGTAATAGTTTTTTTTTTCAAAAATATATTGCTGATAATATCTGTTTTTCAAAAATGTATTGCTGGTAACAATTCATTTTACAAAGTATTCCTGGTATTAAAACCTATTTCTACACTTTCATAGTATTTTGACTCGAGTTTAGGGGTTAAATATTTGCCCATAGTTGGGACCCTAACAGGTACTACCACCCCGAGTAAGGGCGGACCTCGGACACCAGCAATTAAGAGATGGCTCCACGGCCCCCAAAACCTCCTTACTATGTTGTTGGACATAACTTATCGTCTCCCCCAGGACGCGGATGTAGTTTATCGTCATATCCAGGGGGATACGACAGAGATGAAAATGAAGTTAATTTCGTTAAAGTATTATCTACACTAGTTTACTGTACTAGTGTCTGTCTGTTTTATACGCTGTCTTTTGAATATTAATTTGTGGTATGGTGGTTCTCATCCTCTATATAAATTTATTTTTACTTATTTAGAAAAATTATATACATATATCAAAATGGTTTTAATGAAGGAAACACAATAGATGCCGTTGTAATTGTTTGAGATAGATGATCACAGAGGAAAATGGCCATTTAATAACCATATATTTACACACTTGTGCAAATTAATTGAAAGAATTAGTTTACTTTACATTCTTTCACCATTCGGTCACTTTTAGACCCATTGGTGTGACAGGTTGTAATTGATTTCTAATGTTTCCTTAGTTTAGGTCATTTGCAGTGGTCTGCGGTCATATGAATCAATTTTCGGGTTGTACGATGAAATTTGTTTGGCCTGGAAAAATATTGCGTCAACCGTGATTGCATCAGATTTTTATCACTCCCAACACTATTGGTTCGACTGTCGATTAGTTGTCCTCCGGCCATTGTCTTCAATGGACGTTACACCAAAAAAGCATACAACAACTGGCAAGCTTTATCAGTGAGCAAAAGAAAGTACTATAAACTGGACTGGAAATTTTCCTGATGTAAATCCAATTGAGAATCAGTGGTCAATCTGCAAGGAACGACTTTTGTTTTGTTTGAGTTAATTTACACATGTGTATAGGTACACGTCCACTTCCTGTATGGGAATCGAACTTAATATAAAAGAGAATTAGGTGGCGAGAAAAGTCCCCAAAATTGCAGAATATTAGGCGGCTATAATCAGTTTTCATATTGAAAAACAAACTATAGCACATCTTTTAAGCGTGCCATAATCTGAAATGTCTCTAAATGAAAGCAAGTATTAAAAAATGTGATAGTCTTAGCCTTACCTTATTGCAAGGGTTGTAATTTATTCTGCGGATAATGTAATGACAAAATCGAAAACTGTTCCTAAATAAAGCATTTCATCTGTTGAAGGAACTTCTTGAGATTCGTAATAGTTCATCAACAGAGACAGGTCTTACTGGTGGTTTACAAATATTCATGGTGCGTTGGGTAAATTGTCTGAATGACACAAAAATTAAAGTAACTCTTACATCTTATTTTAACAGATATAGTTACCAAATTTACACAAATTCATCTTAAAATATTAAAGAGTAAATTCATTAATAAAATCGCCATTGATTTCAACCATAGTCTTCAGACGACTTCTGAATCTTTTGCAACTCATCTGGGCGGACTCCATATTTTCACTTCATCTTTGATATACCTTCATAATCACTATTAGACTCATTAAACTCTTTCGGAATCCACTACACTGTCCTCAGATTGGCATTCAAAGACTCTGAAATAGTCACGAATGCCAAGCAATATCTATGCCTTTTGCAAATTTCTGGTCGAGTTAATTGAGTCATGGTGCTCTTTCTCTTATAGTCGGTGTCCATATGACTTTACTATATTGCACAATCGACAAAATGAACAGCAAAAAATGCGCACGCGCGAAATGAAAATATATAACATGGCAACAATCTAACCCTCACACATGTATAGTGTGTCATTGTGAAATACAACAACAACTGCTTACAATTACACACTGAAAATATTAATGATAAAACAACGCTTAGTTTTAAATTTAAAGTTTTAAATGTCTGACCTAAGATGTATCTAGATAAGAACGGTTAATTATTATTAGTTTAATATCTAAATCAATGAATAAATGATAATAATTAAATTTACAAATATTCCTATATTTTTCGTATGAAGAAAATTTTGGAAATACAGTTTTGTGTCGTGGCATTACAAGACGTAGAAGATGAAGGTCATCCATGATAGCCTGTGTCTTACAATCGAAATCGTTTTATTATGACAAAACAAATATTTGAACTGCAAGAAAAACTGAGTAGATAGAGGAAAAAAATAATAGAATAATCCGCTGCTGGTAGAAATCTTCCTGCAATAACGAGAGAAAACAAGTTAAGCATGTCCACAAAAATAAAAAAAAAGTGCAGTAAGACATGTGCTTTCTAATTGGATATAAAAGCTGTTTCTTCCAAATTATTCTGTAAGCTACGAAACAAATGGTAGTCTGAAGGAGCAAGATCGGGAGCATAAGGTGGATGAGAAATTTTCTCCCAACCAAGTTCTTCGATCTTTTGTGACGTGATTCTTGCTGAGTGGGGTCGCGCATTGTCCTGATGAAACATCACCTCTTCTCGATTTACTAGAGCAGGTCTTTTTTACCGCAAAGTTTGGTTCAAATGCTCTAATTGCTGACAGTATATTTGAGCATTAATTGTTGCATTAGGTGGTAAGAATTCAAAGTGGATTATTCCTTCGCGATCGAACCAGATTGAAAGAAGAACATTTTGCCCATGAAGTTCCCTTCTCGGCGGTGGCTGGGGTCCTTCCCCTTTACCAAGCCACTGTCTACGACGCTTAACATTTCGATAAAAGATCCATTTTTCGTCGCCAGTCACAAGTCTATCCAAAAAAGGTGAAACAAGTTGGCGAGAATGGAGAGAAGAACAAATGTCAACTCGGGATCTGTGGTTGTTTTCAGACAATTCATGAGGCACGCATTTTCCAAGTTGAGGAACTTTTCCAAGTTGTTGAAGATGATGATGAACAGTTGTATGGTTTGAAATGAGAACCACTGCCAATTCCTCAACTGATAAAGCAGGATTTTCTTCAAGGGCTTCTTCAAGAAGCTTTTCATCAAACTCAACTGGACGTCCGGTTCGATCTTCATCTTCAAGGGTGAAATCTCCACATCTGAATTGTGCAAACCATCTTCTGCAAGTTCTTTCATTCACACATTTCTCTCCATAAACTGAGTGAATGTTTCTAGCCGCTTCAGCTGATGAGTTTCCTTTCTTGAACTGATAAAGCATTATGTGCCTCAAATGATTCTTAGGTACTTCCATGTTAGCAGTGTTTTAATCAAACAAAATTTAATTTTATTGTTCGCTGAAATAAAATTTGATCAGTTTAAATTCATCTAAACATAAAAATAATGTTCAGTTTCATTAAACATTATAACATACTCTTTAAATTTCGTTCATTTTAACAAAAAGTTAAAATTCGGGCAGAATTTATGTGATGACCTGATACATATATATATATATATATATATATATATATATATATATATATATATATATATATATATGCCTCTGTGTGTGTTTACGTGATTGTGTGTGTATACGGATAGTTTGGGTCTTTGATATATCTTCCAATATTATAAATAGTAATATATATATATATTGGCTGTATCGTATTTGTAATTATGAAAAACACATCTCAGCAATGTAGACATCATAAATGGTAATAATCCAACACAGAATTGCATATTTTACTGCACCCAGTATTATAGTTTTTATCAAATGTAGATAACGCATTGGTGGAAGCAGATATCGAAAGTACATGAATTCCTGCACAATGTACTGAAGAAAAGCAAGATAAGTTTAATTATTCAATTTCAAAAAGCCAGAATACATCGATGTTAGCAAGAGGAACACGCTCAAAAAGCAAAATAAAATAGGAGATACCAAAATCAAACATGTTCAACAATTTAAATATATAGGAAGTTTTGTAACAGTGAACAGACAGTGTAACACTCCGAAGCCGCATGGGTATAGCGAAAGATGCCTTCCAAAATCTAAGTAAAATATCAAGAAACAGGCCAATTTTATTAGAAACAAAGAAAAGGGTACTGAATTCTTATGCAATATGTAAGTCTATTTGATAATGAATACAATCTCCATACCGATGAAGAAGCGATTCGAATCAATAGAATTGTGGTTCCACAGAAGGATGCTGAGAATACAATGGACCAAACGCGTGAGCAACGAAGTATTTTTAGGGAAAATGTAAACGAAATATCACTTAACATCAGGAAGAGTAAGTTGATATATCTAGTGCTCAAGCGGGAAGAGGACTTGGGAAATTTGATAAACACAGGACAGATTAAAGGCAAGAGGAACAGAAAAAAACAACGTAAAATTTCCTTAACAAATAATGTAAATGGCTGGCGGATCAAGGTTCAAGGGAGATAAGAAAAAGATAAAACTTACGAAGAGCTACAAAGGACAGGAAATTATGATAGAGAAAACATTTTTGTTTGTCTTTAAGTTTATCGCAGTTACGGTAGCATGTTAGGCCTTTTAATTTACACCTAAAAATAAAGAAAAAAAAAAGAAACTAGAGCGCCTTCCTTGGTGGATTTCATCTCAATATCATGAAACTAATTATACAACTTTGGAGAGCCATGATTGCTAACGTCCAAAAGAATCACAGCATATAGAAAAAGACGCTTGTGCAGCTAAAATGTGTATTTACCGATTTCACAGTGAATTGTCTGTTACGTTACTGTCTATCATTTATCATAACTATTTGCTGGGTTAAAATCATTCTAATGAAAAACTGTAATTAAGAACGAAACCTTTATTATGTTAGCAGAACTCTGCGAAGTTTTTTTTTTTTAACAGTAAATCAACTCCTTAGCAGTCAGTTTATGCCAGTATTCTATATTTTGTGAGATTTCGTAATTTTTTAACATCTATTGCTGGAAGTTCTTTATTACAACAATATATTGCTGGTATTTTTTTTTTATGTGAAAATTCATTGCTCCTACTTTTTTTACTATGAAAATTTTTATTTTTATTTTTTTTGGCTGGCAAAATTTTCTAAAGTACTTTTTTATATATTTTTACCCCAGTTTGATGTTTCATTATTGACCCATAGCTGGGACCCTAAATGTTGCTGCCACCTAAGCCTGGAAACAACAGAAATAAAGAGGGTGTTCCATACTTCTCAAAACCTCCCAAGCATTGCTGCCGAATGTAGGCTCTGTGGGACGAGGCTTATTAAAATTACTCTGCAAATGGTTAGAATGTTAACAAATACTAGTTTTCGATTCCCAACAATTTTGCTTTGTAATTAAGGTGATCACTTGGGAATAATAGTCTGATGAAATGGTTCTGCCATTTACCAGTTGTTAGTGAAATTGGAAGGATGAAACTCTTCGGTAACCGTCGATGTTATCTCACTTGCAAGAAGTCACAAACCATCCTGATTGAGAGTTTGAGAGACATCGCTACGTTAAATCATAATCTACATTCAATTTTTTACATTGTCAGCACAGCATACTTACAATACAAATCAAAGTTAGGCTCACTGGGTATTGAAGAGGCATATACGTGCCTGAGCAGTTGGATCCAACAGCGATTAGCTATCCACCTTCGCGGGCGGGCATTTTCGGAAAAGAGCAACTAGCCTTTTCTCCACAAGTGATGTCCACGATTATGTTTTATATAGTAGGCAAGTACATAGAGTTTTGAAAATCTGATCTTTTTTATGAGTTGTAATTTTTTCAAATGTTACCATCAAACGATTTAGCATTTGTAGATCCCAAAAGTATTGTTGATTTAAATTCCTTCTTACCACTATCAAGTATGTCGAATTTCGAATGCCGCGCAATTTGAAGCTTTCACAGATTGACACTTATTCGATGTCACAATAATATTATGTCAGAAAATTGATATACATTCTACAAAATAGCGATCTTCAAAGGTTCAATATTTATATTTTCATCAAAAACAGTATCGATTTAAAAATGTTCACCCTGTGCAGGACCCATGAGCCGCTGTAACTAGAACAGTGCAGAATAGAGTGCACAGTTTATGGAATATGTGGGGAAAATAACATTTAACCCTAGACTTGAACAGGTTAAGATTGCAGTAATCGGGGAAGTATCCACTTGGAAATTGGTTCCAAAAAACAATAACTTCTGAGAAATTTGGTATAATTCCTGAGTATGTACATAGATAAGATATTTCGGATTGAGACTTAGAAAGAATATACAGAAAAAAACTATAAAAGTTAGTGATTTCTGTTTTCAATATCTCGCCGATATCTCATGTAAATGCTTGTAATTAAGGTAACTTAGATTCTTGGAAAGCGAGAAATCTTTATAAATTCAGCTTAGAGTAATCCATCTATTTCTAATTTGCTGAATAGAATTTTGGAATGGTTTACACCGTTGAATAAAACCCATTCTCTGAAAATCGAAGTATTTATTTTCTCATATCTGTTCCATGAGATAGTTTTTCATCTATCGACTTTCTTTCAACGTGAGTTTAATTTTAAATCTCCCGCTGCTATTTCTTCCGCCACGTAATGATTTTTTTCCTTAGTTTGTGTTCGTCGAATTTCAGGTATTGTGTAACCGTATAAGGTGAGAGTATGAGAAAGTAAAATAAAAACCATACTGTTGTCATTCTTGATTTAGTCAATCGCTAGAAGGTCACCTTTCAAAAACAGAAGTCCATAATGAAAATTACGATGCCAGACGCTTCTTTTTTCTTCGATCGGTAAGTATTTGGAGATGAATAGAAAACTTTGAAGAATGCCAATGGCTGCATACAACAAAAGAAAGGTGAAGAGGCTACCAGACAAACATAGCTCATAAAACTGCAGATGGAAAAATTCTTCTTGTTTTATGTTCCGTGTACATTCCCGATGTGTGCGATCATGGCTCTCGACAATTTCTTATTCTCACTAATCAATATTTATCCATTACTCTCTATACTACATACTGTTCTACGTACTCCATCTAGACAAGTTCGTTAAGAAGGTTGTTTACTGATTGGTTTTGCATCATTTGCTTTCAATATATTATGTGATATATACACCAACATATCTTTCCTCGATCTTCTACAATGTTAGATATCTGTGACCTTAAAAATTAGTTTATGTAGTCCATTAAACATATTATTATGGGATCTTACTCATAATAATAATAATGGACTATTCCATACTTAATACATACTGCGCCTCAGGTAGGAAAGTAGGCAAGGGAGTCAGTCGTTGACTTCTGAATCGACTGTTCGGTTGTACTCTCTTCCTACGGACGGGAGGAACCCGAAGGAGGCTACGCCGAAGGGCGGAGTCTCCTTCGGGGAGGTAGACCGGCCCTGAACCCGTTTATACGGATTCAATGGGTATATTTTTGGGCCGAGCCCACGGGTTCGGAATGCCCACGTTAAAAAAGGCCTTGTGCCACATGACACCCTCGTGGGGGGGGGTGACTGAATATCGTCAATCGTTGACTTCTGAACCGACTGTTCGGTTGAACTCTCTGCCTTCGGGCGGGGATTAACCAGAACGAAACTACGCCGAGGGGCGGAGTCTCGTTCGGGGAGGTAAACCGGCCCTAAGCCCGTTTATACGGGTACAATGGGCATATTTTTGGGCCGAGCCCACGGTCTCGGAGAACCCACAATAAATAACCGACCTTGTGTCACACGATGCCCCAGTGGGGGGTGACTGAATATCGAGCCAGTCGTTCCCCTTCTGACCGGCTGTTCGGTTTGGACTCTCTACCTTCAGGCGGGGAGGAACCCGAATCAGGCCACGGCGAAGAGTGGAGTCTCTTTCGGGGATGAACCAGAACGAGGCTCCTCCCTTCGGTGTAGCGTCTTTCGGTGAGGTAAACCGACCATGTACCCGTTTATACGGCTTCAATGGGCATATTTTGGGCCGAGTTCACGGGCTCGGAGATACCTCGTTAAAAATGGCCTTGTGCCACATGACGCCCCAGTGTGTGTGTGGTGGGGTGACTGAATATCGTCAGTCATTCAGTAGTAAGTTGAGTCAAGAGTCGAGTCAGAGGCAGTCCGAAACAGAGTCGCTTTCAGACAATTACTACAAGACATTGGAATAGTGATACTGGTCGAGACTCCATTGTTCTCTCTACTAAACCTGATTGTTCATACTAACATTTCTACTTCTCTGTATATGTTCCTGTTTGTAATATATCTGTTTTATTCCATACCTATGTTCGATTTCTTCTTTATTGGTTCTACCTTGGACTGTCACCGTGGTATAAGTAACCGGACCATAACAATTATTTATTAATTTATGCTTAGTACTAGTTTTACAAGAGATTCCTTCATTATACAGTTTAAATGACCAGATTTAAGCAGATGTTCTATACTAATGATTTCTTCTATTGCACTTCAAATTTGTGGAACATTTTTTCCGGTTTCTTGGTTTCCAGTGAAATTTAATCTTCAAATATTTAAATGTAATATCAATCGTTAGGTTCTGCCTTCTTTATTCCAGTTCTTTTATTGGTCCATTTCTTTCAAAGAATTTGTTATTATGTTATATTCTCTTAAACTTTGCCTCTTAAACCATATTTTATTCAAATATAATACTGCGATTCTATATCAACTACATAAATACTAAAATTTACAAATAACAAAGTAAAAATTTGTAACGAATTTTGAAAGGGGACTTTTTGCAAGCAATAAAAGAACAAAACAATATACAGTTCAATAAAACTTTCATTTGAATTGAAAAGTTGGATTCATTTGCTCGGAAAAATTCCAGCCTTGAATTTCACTTTTTTTTTAATAGTAAAAATCAGTTTAATCAACAACTATTATTCGATGGCTGTATATTCAAAATCATTGTGACAGTTTTATAGTGTTAGTTTTGGTATATGTATTGACTGACAAGACACCAACTACCATTATATGACGCAGGAGGTAATTTATGAGCCATTAAAGAAAGATTTGTTTTTATATTATATTTTCTATATTTACACAATATCTTTGCTTATTTCATTAAAAAATTCACTTGAAATCAAATAGTAGCAGTATTAGTTTGTCACACATGAAATAAAGCAATTTATAAGAAATTAATAAAAAAATACTTCTAAAATGTTAAATAACGAATTTATTTAGTTGAAATAGGGACCATGTTGCTCAATGAGTGTTCTCCAACGTACCTCTAAATTCTTGATCTCGTCTTTAAACATTTCCCATCCTTTGATTTGATAAAGTGATCAAATACTTCCCTTGACTCTTCTTTATTGGAGAATGCTTTATTGCTTATGGAAACTTAAAAAATTCTTAAATGAATGATAATCAGTAGGTGAATATGGTGGATGAGGCACAATTTCATAATTCGAGCTGTTCGACGTTTGCACAGTTTATTGAGACGCGTGTAGCCGTCGGTTAGGACATCCTTTTTAACACGCCTAAGATTTTGTTTTTCAATTCATACACTCATTTTTTTCCACAATAACAGGTTGGTGCTATTGTTTTCCTTTGAGGCAACAATGAATAACGAGTAACCCCTCTGAAATACCAGCATGCAGTAACCATTAGCTTTTTAGAGGATAGTGGAGGTTTTGTGTATTCTTTTAGTGATTCCCTTGCAACTAACCACTGGCCTAATTTCTTAATGCTGTTAAAGAGTATGCGTTTCTCATTGCATGTAATGAACTAATCCAAAAACGTTCCTTTTTTGCAGTTTTTTCTCATACCAAAAGATTTCTCGGCATTGTTCATTGTAATAATTTTCATTGCGCTAAACAATATATTGAATGAAAGATTATCTGGTAAGCAAAAGATCAAGGAATAAGTGAAGACATTTTTATATAGTAACGAGGTTACATCGTTAAACGATTGGATCAACAAATAACTGAAAAATGCGCCATTTCATGTGTGACAACGTAATATTTTCCCACAATATCCCAACAATTAGCTTATATATAAAGCCCATCTCTCCTGTGCTCCTCGGTTAGCAAATCTATGGGCAGAAGGGTGTAACACCAAGAAAAATAAGTCTATCTATTAACTGATCCTATATCTACCTATTTAGGGCACCTCAGCGTGATGTAATGGTTAGCAAGCTTGTCTCTCTAGATCAGTTACAACTGAAAAGTGAGTTCAATCGTCACTAGTTGCCCCACACTTTCGGCCTTGTGTCACAGATATGCTTTGAAAATAATTTACCTATTTAAATCTTATAAAAATAAACCGATGTTTAGGATTTTAATTCACGTTCAGCCAAATCATTTGTAATCTCTTGCACAAGAAGTTTTTTTATGACAGTAATCGACAATAAATAACGTAGAAGTCATTGATATGACACAAAGAAATGAAAGCAAACTGGGTCCAACATAATTTACATTTAATATTCCATGATTATTGGCATTTTCTAATGACAAGTATGGATATTCTATAGAATATGGTCATCAAAATCCGTTCTACCACATGCGTTATATTTGCTTCTAATGCATCAGAGATATGGCTGAAACGTTTGAGAGAATTGAAAATCAGAGGCACTCAAATACAGTAACTTTTCAGCATTTCATTATACATTTCACTTGAATTCAAATTGTGATAGATGTCCATCCTATTCTATCTGGGTTTTATTTTCCTTTTGTTTTGATCAATATCATTATGAAAACATTATTTAGTTACATATAAGAACTAAATAGTTTTTATATTTAATATTACAATATCTAGAACCTTTGTATTACCTGGCTATCTATGTTGATTTCTTAAACATTCCCGTACAATTTCCGAGTTTCACATAAAGTCGATAGAAATATATCAAACTTAATGGAAGAAATATGAGCTTAAGACTTGTATGATATGCATTTCATAACACATTTTATTTTGATTAGAATATTAATAGCAATATATTTACACTATTTACATTATTTGGACTATTGTCCTCATCTTTGTCGCCATGTTTATCACAACTTTTCGGCCGTTGTACGCTTCAGGTGGTTGGAATGTCGGACTGAACCCTTTACATCGATCATTGTGGTAGATTGTTCTAGTTTCACTTGCCATGTCTAATGGATGTCTGTTATCTCCTGTTAATTCCCCGCAAAAGTTCTCCACTGCCTTAACCGGGTATCGAACTCACACTCTTTGGGTACTGTTACTGGATCTAACTAACGCCTTTATCCACTGTGACATGTGTCCTTGCTGTGGAAAAATTTGAAAGGGGAATTAACAGGAGAGAACTGACATCCATTAGACATGGCACGTAGAAATAGAAAAGCCTACCCCAGTTAGCGAAATAAAGGGTTCAGTTCGACATTACAACCACTTGATGAAGGCTGGAACGTGCAACGGCCGAAAGGTTGTGATAAACATGTTGACAAAGATGAGGACAATAGGCTAAATAATGTAAATAGTGTACATAATACCTCATCTCAGAAATATAGACAGATAGCGATATATTATTTTGATATTTTACATTCATCCAATATCCATGTATGTTATTTAAGTTTAAAATAACAAGAGATTATAGTGATTTTTGAAACGTACTTTACATGTTCGACAGTATGGGGAAACTCACTGAGGATCGAACTCACTACTTAATCGTAATTGTTCTCGCGAGACAAGCTTGCTAACCATTACACCGCTTCGAGGTGCCTTATTTTCCAAGCCTAGCTTAGATGTGGCACAAGTCCGAAAGTCTGGGGATGCCGTTGAGGATTGTAATTGTTCTATCGAGACAAGCTTGCTAACAATTCCAGGTGACTTATTTTCCAAAGATAGCTTAGATATGGCACAAGGACGAAAGTATGGGGCACCTATGGAGGATCGAACTCACTAGTCAATCTTAATTGTTTTAACGAGACAAGATTGCTAACAATTCGAGGTGCCTTATTCTCCAAGCATAGATTAGATGTGGCAGAAGGCAGAAAGTAGGGGGGCTCCATTGAGGATCGTAATTGTTCTAGCAAGACAAGTTTGCTAACCAGCTGGAGGTGCCCAATTGCAAGTAATTATATAGTACTACAACATTTGAGAAGGTAAAAATACAAATGATTTATAAGGTCAGGAAAAATTAGTCTAAATTTTGGATGCGAAATCTGGAAGATACTCTAGGCATATTTTCCTACAACACGGTGGTATTTAAGAGACACTAAATGACATATCTTTTCTATTTCATTATAAATATCACTTGAATTCCTATTTTGCATTGTTTTTATATAAACATTATTAGTTTTTGTTTAATGATTTTATATTTGCGCACAACACGGGCTATTTTTTCTATTTTCTTGAACGAATTTAAGCGAAAAAATATTGTACATATGTAAAAGTTAAAAAAAAATACACGTGTTGAATGTCGCCGATATTGAAAACAATGAAAATATGTGTTTGTACAACAGTTTGTTTTTCTGTTCTTAGAGCTACAATCTTTTGAAAATTAATTTAATTTAAAATACTGCAGGTTTTCAGTATCGACACGAACCTCACTTCCTGGACAATAGGCAAAGAGATTAGCAATCAAAACGTTACCTCACTGAGACGCAACCATGGAAATCAACATCAGAAAAATACAGACATTAAAAGGTCATGATGAGAGAAGCAAAGAATTCTATGTATGGACAGAATTTGTAAACTAATTGTCAGACACTTCCTATCAAATAAAGATGAATTTGAAAACAAACAATAAATATTCGTTGCCAACACATTTCAATATTTAATCAAGTTTTGATGGTTTCTATAAAAAAAATTTAAATAAAATCTCTTTCACCAATCGTAATGATTCCAGCTGTTGCATTGTGAATGAACTCTTACCGACAGGACATTCTAATCTGCATACATAATCAATTAACTGATAGAAAATTCTCTATGTTTGTCGACACCGAATGTGGACAACTCAAAAGTCGGCCATTATCAGACTGTGTAAATGTTTTTTTTTAAAAAGCCATAGTTTCTGGCTATGTACATTTACAAGGTGAAAATTAATTCATTTCTTAAAGCTAAATACAAGCCTTCTGATCTGTAGCATTATCTATCTATCTATCTATCTATCTATCTATCTATCTATCTATCTATCTATCTATCTATTTCAGTTTCTATCCCCCTCCCTCTCTATCTATTTCAGTTTCTATCTATCTATCTATCTATCTATCTATCTATCTATTTCAGTTTCTATCCCCCTCCCTCTCTATCTATTTCAGTTTCTATCTATCTATCTATCTATCTATCTATCTATCTATCTATCTATCTATCTATCTATCTATCTATCTATTTCAGTTTCTATCCCCCTCCCTCTCTATCTGTTTCAGTTTCTATCTATCTATCTATCTATCTATCTATCTATCTATCTATCTATCTATCTATCTATCTATGTATTTCATTTTCTATCCTCCACCCTCTCGATCTATTTCAGTTTCTATCTATCTATCTATCCTACCTATTTCAGATTTTTTCTTAGCTGTGTATTTATATTTAAAGATATGTTTGGTGGTACAAAATTGTATCACTGCCATAAACAGACAAAAATTAGTTTTATTATTACCACTCATAACAAAAAGTAAAAATGAAAAACGGGCTAGCTAACCGGTTTCCTACCTCGCCCAACAGAGCTAAATCCAGGTAAATAGAGTAAATTATATAATTAAAAAAAGAACAATGGACAAAGTTTATTGGTGGGAAAAAATTAAATGGTAATTAGTTGGAGGCCTAATATAAAGACATTCTGTTTACAAAGAGAAGGCTTTAAAGATAGAATAAAGATGGCCTCCAACATTTTTAGGCGGTAATTTGAGTGGGACTTGCTAAGGATTGTAAAAGCGTCAGCACTAAAACTAAGATCACAATTATGGCTTTTATTTTAAGGTGTTCTGCGATGGAAGACCCATAGGTATTGGTCAGAACGTCTGAGGCAATGTACTTCCGGTTACGGATTTTCACTGGAACGTGTTGTTTTATTCTAACATCCGGCCTTTGTAGTGCGAACCGCAACTAGATTTAAAGGAATAAATTAATGAACTGTTATAATGTGGTGGGCGAACATCCTTACGTATAGATGGAAGGACAGGCCTGGCAGAGAAAACAACACTAGTGTTAGCGGCAAAGTAACAATGTCTAACTGCGGTAGAAACCTGCTTGGCAAACCTATCGCTGATACTACCTAGACAAGGAAGGCGGATATACAGAGGACATCTTTTTATTATAGCAGGTTTGAATTTGTTAAATTCAGCAATTTTTTTCTTAATAATTGCTCAATGGGTAGGCATGGTTACAGAGAGTAGAAGTATAAACCTGAGTTCATCATCCTACTTGATGTCCGAACAGATCATAAGAGCCCTATGAGTAAGTGTCTTAATTAGATTAATTCTGCGTTTCCTGGGACAAAAGGAATTCCAACGGATATACAAACCAGTAAACCTCGGTTTACGGTAAACAACAGAAATAAAACCTGACGTAGATCTGCTGACGAGTACATCGTGAAAGGGAATAGATGAATCGACCTACTTTTCCTGTGTAAATTTCAAGCCCGGATGTATATTGTTAAGGGACCTAAGAAATTAGTCCCCTTTAATCTCTTTATCGAAGAGACAATAAATGTCATCAACATAACGGAAATAAACCTCAGATTTATCAGATTTTAGTAGTTCACTCTCTTCTTGGAACCCAACAATGATGTTTACTAAGATGGGCCCCAAAGGGAAACCCATCGAAACACCATCAACCTGACTGTACATGATACCGTCGAAACTGAACTCAACTGATATCGTGGCAAATTTCATCGGTTCAACAAACACGTCTTCCGGAATAACAGGCGGAGACAATTGACTAGGATATAGGGCATCGTCACATATATCGATAATCTCAGCCAGTGGAACGCATGTAAATAAACTGGAGATATCTTATGAACACATAAAGTTATCCGTAGGCAAATAACACTGCAGAAAATGGGTGAATTCAAATGAATATTTAATACAGAGTTATACTGCTCCAAAACCGGTTGCAGTATAGGCGAAAGCCATTTAACCACACTGTGTTGAGAAGATCCAATCATATATAGAAGAGATCCCAATTTTGTCCAAATTTTATGAGTTTTATGTAAGCCATAGAGACAAGGACGAATGCAGCCCGAGAGTCTAATCGAATTTGAAATATCAGTGGAAGTTTTCTACTTTATACCCATTAACTGGGCGTTTTTTGAACTTGGCCTCAATAGATAATGTAGAATCAAATTTATCTATTGGGCCTAACCGGACAAGTTTAAAGAAATCCCCAAGAATTGTCATTATCTTGTTAGCATAATCCTGATGGTCAAGGATAACGACACCAGAACCTTTGTCGGGTTTCGTAATTACCAAGGCTTTATTATTACGAAGAGTTTTAATTACCTGAAATTACACCTCGTTCCACTTCAATTCATTATGTGAAACAGGCGTACCTGTGTAACAATGTGCTATATTATTCAACTTTGCATTGAGGTCGCTGATTTTGCTAGCAGAATCAGGTTGGAGTTTAGCTAGCTGTGCGAACAAAACCTCAAACTCCGATATACCTCCTCTCGCTTAATATGTGTGGGGAGAATACAAAAATCCAGTCCGTGCGAGAGGATTGATAGTTCAAGCTCAGACAACTTTTTTTTTTTTTTTTTTAAGCATTACGCCCCGAGCAAGGCGGGAAGCCACTAGGATGCAGGGGGGTTGCAGAAGATTTGGAGCGAGATCAGATAGGAGTGACAGAAGAAATGATGAGGAGAGGGATAGTGGATAGATCAAGGTAACTGGAGATGTCGATTGACATTACATTTGAATAGTTGAAGATTATAACTCTCAGGGAAACAGTGATAAGGAAGGGTGTTCCACAGGCGAGAGGTGCGAGATATGAAGCTATTGGAGTAGAAGAGACGGATACATTTAAAAAGTACCTACAGTGAAAGTGTGTGAGAGCGGGATGCCAGCCTCGTAGGGCGCTTGAATTCATGAAGTCTGGGAACCAGTGAAAGCAGCTCATCGGAACAATTACCATGAAAATATTTGTAGAAAAGACAGAGAGAGGCGACGTAGCGTCTGTGAGAGAGCGACTGTAGACGAGATGCCAGATCAGGGCCAATTATATTACATATCCGCCTCTGGATCTTGTCGAGAACCCCGAGGTAAACAGAAGGTACACCAGACCCTATATGGCAGTAATACTCCATGCAAGGGCGAATGGTTGATTTGTAGATTTGAAGTATCTATTCCGGGGAGAAACATTTCCTGACGCGGCACAATTAGCTAACTTTCCTCGCAGTGGAAGAAGCAATGGATTCAACGTATTTGTTCCATCTCAGGTCAGCAGTCAACGTGAGACAAAGCAGACAGTTGCTCTCAAGAAGTTGAGCATCAGACATTCTAATGGTAGACAGGGAAGGATCTCTATGGTGATTAACAGAGAGCTGTTTAGTTTTTGAGGCCATAAGTTGACCAGCCAATTCTTGCCCCAATTAACAACCGATTGGAGGTCTAATTCAAGACGAGCGGCAAGGTTAGTTTTGTCATCGACACTAGATATGTTTTTGAGGCAGGAGTAAATTGTAGTGTCGTCCGCGAAGATGCCAACTTGGGAATCTATGGCGTCAGGAAGGTTGTTGATCAAAATAAGGAAAATAGTGGGGCCAAGAATGGAGCCTTGGGGAACACCTGCGTTCGTGGGATAGGAACTGGAGATGAAGAGAGATTCAAGACATTTTGACCAATAATAGGATTAGCAGAACTCCCAATTTCTTAATAAATTAAATGTTGCCACTTATTCTGTTGTTTAATCGTAAGTCAAGAACGACTACGTTCGTTAATAAGTGCTACATAACTGACGAAACGAATCTTATCAAATTAGGAAAGTCTGCCCATTGTAATATTCCATAATTGATAATTGGTATTTATATGTGTCCCTTTTAACTGTCTTTCTATCTATCTCTTTATCTATCTATTTACCTTTGTATCTATCTATCTATCAGAGTTACGGCTTTCAGTATCTATCTATCTATCTGACTATCTATCTATCTATCTATCTATTTATCTCAGTTTCTATCTGCCCATTTCAGTTTCTATGCATTTCACTTTCTATTCCTCTCTCCCCCTATGTATTTCACTTTATATCTATCTATCTATCTATATATCTATCTATTTTTTTTCTACTTATGTATTTATCTTTGTTTCTTTTCTCTGCTTTTTATCTTTTCATCTATCTATTTCTCTTTCTATCAATCTGTCTTAATTACGGCTTATATAAGAATATAAAGTATGGACACGTGGCGGAATGGTTTGAGATTTGGCGTTCGGATCATATAACCCTTGTTTTAAATTATCCATTGATTTGTCAGGAAGTTGATTTCTTGAAGTTCTCAGTATGGGATTCGATCCCAAGCGTATACCATCGTGTGAGAAAATACCTGAAAACCACACCACAAGTCGACCTAGCCTTTTGAGTGGATGGATATAGATGAAATTGTTCCGATGCCGTCAATGTTTGAGCTACCAAAAAGTCTCTAATCATCGTGACTGAGCATTTGAGTGTATTGTCCTTGACAAAAAATGGTGATTACATCAGATCATCTACTCTCACACAGAAATTGTAATTATGGTCGATAAGCATAGCTACAGTCGAAACTATAGGTAAGATTTATGAATGTTGAACATATTATTTCTTGAGCAGACGTTTTCAACAGAGATTGGCGAAACGCCAATTTTTTTGTGAAAAATATAACGAACTTTTCCAATTTTTCATGTCATGGGGTTCGTATTTGTAGGTCCCCTGAGTGTATCAGGTAATATGGTAAATGGGGGATTGATTGATGATAGACAAGTTCTTTTGGTGAATGTGTTAAATTGTAACGAGTGAATGGGTCACGAATCGGATTAGATAGGTATAGGATAGTGGTGATGAAACCTCATCTCAAACTCCACGTTTTTCGGCCTTGTGTCACAAACTTGTATTTTTACAAAACAAATCTCGAGACTGGCCAAGTGCGATAGAAAACGGATGGATTTCGAAACTAGGAAGTAAACTGCTTAATAAAGATAAAAGTTCTAGAGAGCATTCCAATGGAACTGCTTGGTATATTCTGGTAAGGGAATTGCGTTGAGCCATTCAATTGTCTTATTACAGCAGATAACTACATTCATTTTTTAATGTTCATGCAACGAATTAAAAAGAAAGAAGTAACTATCTGATGAAAAGTAAATGCCGTGCATGCTTTTTGTCAAATGAATACTGACCAATCGTCAGGTTTTGATAGGAAAACGTTATTATATGACCATTGTTAAATTTATGAAAGGATATCAGCAAAATTCCGATTAGGGAAAGGCATGCTGAATAATTAATATTTGTTGCGCTATACGCATGCACACACACACACACACACACACACACACAAAGACACGCACACACACACACACGCACACACACACACACACACACACACACACATAT